AACAGTTATATTTACCATAAGACAATAGTATTAGGCTTATTGTAATTTTAAACATTTCATTTCTATATTCGTTTGTTGTTGTTTTTTCGAGAAAATGATATACTAGTATTTGTACCATACTCTCGGCCATATCCATTGCCGACGACGCGTTTCACTCAATACTAGATCTCATCATTCCAGTTGGGACATAACAAACACAATAATGTAAAAAATATACATGGAGTCTTCTCTACGTTTTAGTAAATAATTTTTTTCTTTAATTATGATCTTTTGTCCCTCTTTCGTAAGAGAGACAAAAGATCATAATTAAAGAAAAAAGATATTAATTGGACAAAAGTGTACTGAACAGCGTATGTTTGTTTTTTACATATTAATTTATTTGCGTTATTAATTTTAAAAGCAAACATAGTAAAGATCAGAACCATATTTATACAAGTCATTTGTTATAATAAAACATTTTATGGTGTGAACGTCTTTCTTTTAAGCACTACAGTATAAAAAAAAACTGTAGTTATATCGTGAGAAACACGAAAAGTTGAACAAACCACATCTTTCTCTTCTCTCATTCATGCCACATTTGTATCAAAGCCACTATTTTCATATTTAGTATGTCTTTGTCATTGTATAAATGTTGCACTGTGACATCATTTGTTTGTTTTTGTTCTTCTTTTGTACAATTTTCTATAGATCATTCCTGAAGACCGGAAATGGGAATTTCCGCGACATCATTTACGGTTCCTCGGGATTCTGGGAGAAGGCTGTTTTGGTCAGGTGTGGAAATGCGAAGCACTTAATATTGACAACAAAGACGGAGCGTGTATTGTTGCAGTTAAAACATTAAAAGGTTGGTGCATTACAGGTCATAATTTTGTACTTTTTTAAATATCCACGAAGAAAGCATATAATGGTGGTTTCTTAAAGCTTTTTATTGTCGTGGTATTTTCTAAGACATTTTATCTCTGTCACAGTTCCACGTATCAAAGTTTAAGAACTAGATTATTCCACTCTTAACAACTTTAATAATGCGTTGCGCGCAATTATTATTATTATTTGTGTAAGGCGTTGATTAATATTTTTAATGCTTTGAAACGAAAGTGTTAAACTAATAAATTCATATATTTCGTTTTCAGAACACGCCTCCGAGAAGGAAAAGAAGGATCTATTGAGTGAATTAGAAGTAATGAAACTGTTGGACCCACACCCCAATGTCGTAACTCTGTGGGGATGTTGCACTGAGAGGGGTCAGTTACTCACTTTACTTGCTTTATTGATTTCCTCTGACTGCCTATTTTACATGACCTAAAAATTGACATTGGCCAGTTTCTATACGTTCTGGCCTGGTAGAGCTTGGTAGTTAGGGTATTCGACTTGCAATCTGCGGGTTGCGGGATCGAAACTCATCGCCAAATATTCTCGTCCTTTCAGCCGTGGAGGCATCATAATGTGTTGGTCAATTATTCCATTATTCATTGGTAAAGAGTGGTTCAAGAATTGGTGGTGTTAACTAGTTGCTTTCCCTCTAATCTACCACTTCAAAATTAGGGATAGCTAGCACAGATAACCCTCGAGTAGTTTTGCGCGTAACTCAACAAACAAATAATCTCTAGGTTCTCTCTATATATTGGTCGTTAACCGGTCAGTAACTTTGAGTATTCTGCAGATTGGTCTTGCCAGGTGCTCAACATACTCTAGAGACTGTCATTAGTCTGTTCAATTTACATATTATACAGAGGTAAATTGGACGCTTACTTTATATGCTACATCGATTGACATTGGTCGGTTACTTTTACCTAACAAGTTATACATTATGGCATTGGTCCGTTTAAGTAGAACTTGCCGATGTGTATGCCCAATCAGGCAGTAGTTTTAAAATGGATGTTCAAATCATGTTTAATAATACTTTATTCAAATAAAATAATCTTCTTTCAATAAAATTCAAATGTACTATTGTATGTAATTAAAAATTCCAGATAAAGCCAATAAAAGTTGGTGCTACATTTTCTACAGATCAGATACTAAAAACTAGTACTACAGCCATCCTTATAACAAACCATAAGTAAATATTTCCATAAAAATAACGAAACATTCTAGGCCTACGATGGTTCCACAACAAACACGAATCTTGAAAGTAGGCTAGAGTTTTTTTTTTTGTAGCTAAGGGCAAAATTATACAATGGGCTATCTGTGCTCTGCCCTCAACGGTATCGAAACCCGGGTTCTAGCGTTGTAACTCCGTAGACATACATCTGTGCCACTGTGGCAAGTCCGCTATTATTTAATTAAATATTTACCATGAAAACATATGACATTACTTATTATCCTAAACATGTTTGTATATGTAAATTTTATTATGAAGTTGTTTTAGCATTGCATAACCTATATAACTGTATTTTTGTTTTCGCTAAAATAATTCGTTTTACTGTAATTTTACTTATGTTTTTAAATCCTCAGTGAACGAGCTACATTTAAAGGATTAAAATTCATGTGATTGAAAAATATTTATTCTTTTGTTTTTCACTACTCAGTCCTATTGAATTCAACTGGTTATTTCAAATCATTTTAATGGTCTGTTTGTATTGTCAGTTTCTAGATACCACTAATTATTTCTAAATAGCATCAATAGACCGGTTTACGGCTGCGTGTTGAAATATTTATTTTCACATTGTAAACGCTCTATTTACTGTTTACAAAATAAAATATTTATTTCAGTAAAGATATTTTTGGACGAACAGGATATCTCACGAAGTTATTGCATTCTGTTTAGATCCTCTGTTCGTCATAATGGAGTATGTGATGGGCGGAAAGCTGCAGTCCTACCTTCGAGAAAGTAGAGCAGAACGTTTCTATGGGAACCTGCATGGCACTTCCAGACATCTGACATCACGAGATCTGACGTCATTTGCTTACCAAGTGTCGAAAGGAATGGAATATTTGTCTACTAAACGGGTACTTTTTTATGCTATTTAGATTTAAAAAAACTTTGCTCTGGAGTAAAGACTATACAGCTTTCAAGATTGTGTGCTTGCAATGTTCAAACTTTACAAACAAACAAAATATTTATTTGTTTATTTCATTTTTAAGTGCATAGCTACTCAATGAGCTATATACACAGTGCGTCCACCGCAAAGATAAAACCCTCAAACTTGAACCACAAGGATATATGAAAACCTAGAATTTTACCTAAATAATGAATATTAATACAATAAATTTGTTGATTAAATGAAATATCATTCTCCAAAAGGGGCCAAAACCTCCTGAAAGGGTCACCTGTTCACGAGAAGAATGCACAGCTTGACATATGAATTTCAAAAGCAAGTAATAAAAATATTTGTTACTCCTAATTTTGGTTTTATTTACTCTTGAAACAGAACACGTTCAGGGACTATGGGAAGTACATCTAGAATTCATTAAAAGATGTAATTACATACTGTTGCACAGTAAAAGCTGTATCTCTTCTTGTAATACACATTAAACCCATGAGGATTCCAATCTGTAAATAGTACAAATATCTGAACAAGTATGCTAAATTTTATAGCAACCTCCTAACTTTTTTGCAGGTTTTCCAAAAATTTATGATGCAGTCATTATTTAATTATTTATCTTGCTTCAATCAATTCTTTCAGAGCCAACACTCTTTGATAAGGTTTTTTCCTAAAATTCTTTAAAAAAATTGTCGCAAAACACTAGGTTTAATGAAAGTTTTCACCATTCATATACAGAAGCAAATCAATGGAACCATGCGACTATTAGTGGCATGGCAAAGGGTCAAACAACCACACCAATATTCTAAAAGGTTCACTATATTCAGATTTTTAAAAAATAAACAATTCACTATTATTTATATCACAAAATGCCATCATGTGGAAGAAAAGGTCCACATTTTCTTTGGGGGGGAACCCCCACACATTCCGTAATATTGGCTATGTCCCTGACTGTGTCAATCATACAAACTTGTGACTCAAAATTATTATGAACAAAACTTAAAAAATGTCCAATCTTAAACTTATTAAAAAAAAAACAGTTTCAAAATTAAGTGAATTAGAGGTTTGTCTGAACCAAAGATGCCAAATATTTCTCTCTATGAAGCAAAACATTTGAAATACAATAGCAGATTTTTTAAGTGAATTAGAGGTTTGTCTGAACCAAAGATGCCAAATGTTTCATTCTATGAAGCAAAACATTTGAAATACAATAGCAGATAACGAAATTTTTAATTCAACCTTTTTTTATGCTTTTTTTTCCCTTGCAGATAATACACAGGGATCTAGCAGCTAGGAACATCTTAGTTGATGAAAACAAGACTTGTAAGGTAGCAGACTTTGGTTTTGCAAGGGATGTAATAGTCAATCACGTGTACGAACGAAAATCTGAGGTAAGCTGTGTAGGTAAATTAGTATATTTCATAGATGAATCAGAACTCCAAGCTAAGTAAGCAACAAAGCAATAATATAAATCATATTACGATGATATCTGCGTCTGTTTAGAAGTTAAATGATGCAAGATTTAAAACGTCATCCTTTTAAAAAAATGTTCTGAACACATGCGTTTCTTGTTTGTTTGTTGTTAAGCACAGAGCTACACAATGGGCTATCCGTGCTCTGCTCACCACGGGTATCGAAACCCGGTTTCTAGCGTTGTAAGTCCGCAGACATACCGCTGTGCCACTGGGGGGGCATGCGTTTCTTAGTACTTTGTGCTATATTTTGTAAGACTAATTACGTTTTACAACAGTGTTGTTTAGTGATTATCATTTCGTGGAATTGTAAATTTATTTTATTCAATATTCAATAAGGGAAGGGTTAGCACTTACGTATATATATATTTAAATGAGCTGTAGAAATTCCTTTGTTTGTAATTTAAATATAACTGTCTTAAAGGGTACAGGCTAAATATAAACAAATATAAGTTGGTAAACACCAGTAATAAAAATTAAACTTGATGCATGAGGAAACATGTGTATAATCTGGCTAAATCTTAAACTGATTTTAAGCAGTGTGGAAGTTGAAGTTATGGAGATATTTGTACAAACTCATCGACATATTGTATTTCCTTATATTTCCTTCAACCTGGCTAGTTGTGAGTAGTTAAGATTAAAATGTGTGTACTCCAACATGGAGTGCTCTTTTTGTTTTTCCTTTTAAAAAAATGGCATAAACTATATAGCTTTATTAGATATTCAATAATATACATTATAAATACAAGTGCCCTCCCCAGTGGCACAGCGGTATGTCTGCGGACTTATAACGCTAGAAATCGGGTTTCGATACCTGTGGTGGGCAGAGCACAGATAGCACATTGTGTAGCTTTGTGCTTAATTACAAACAAACAAAATAAATAAAAATTAGTTAGTTAGAGACTACAAAATTTCAGTTTTCTTTCAACTCTATAGTATTAACTTCAAATAGCTGATTAAATTTATGAAGATATACCTCATGCTATAATGCATAAATGTGTATGATTATTTACTGTAATAGTAGTTTTTAACAGTCAAGTTTGGTCTTCAATGCGCGGTTTATAGCATGTACTGAGTAACTGTTTCCCGAAACTACTAAACAGTGATATATTTCTATACAATGCAAGAGGATAATGAAACATAACGCATAACTTTTGATTTGTCATGGTTTATTGTATAATGTGTACTATATAGCTTTCGCTGTAGTTAAAAACATGTGAGATAAAAAAAACTGTTAAATCACATAAAAAACGCAATAAAACTCTAGTGATTTTAATAGGTAGTCCTGTCTTTATGAGGGTCAAATGCTATATTAAAAAAAAAACTCGATTAAAATCCTAGCATGTTGGACAAGTGAACCTGTCGAAATCGCTAGTGTTTTATAGTTTTTTATATGATGCACAACAGAGCTGGTCCCTCGGTAGCACAGCGGTAAAGT